AGCTCTCGTTCACACGCCCTACTAACATCGCTTGCATTTCTAGCTATTATGATGCCGAAAAGTACGATCTGCCGATCTTGTTCGCACTTTGGCTCGTCGGCGCAGTGTTCGCTACGGTATTCCTCCCCGTGCTCTCGGTGGACGCTTCTCAGGCGCTGACATCGTAACTCCAGCTCCAGTGGGGGAACCTTACCTGGTGTTACAGCGACCAGTCCTGTCGCGTACTCACAGCTCTTGTCGCTTTCGTGTGGATGAGCTGCATATTAATTTTTGCTCTGCTTATCATCAGCTGGTTCCTGGTTCTTGTTGGTACGTCGCGCGACCCGTGGGATAGATGTCAGATCCTGAAGACGGTCTGTTTTCCTTCAGGCGAAACTGACGACTTCGACGATGACTCCTCCGACGATGACTCCATTTGATCTCAACATTCGTACTAAAAGCTGTGCGGGAAGTATTGGTGCATCAATAGTAGACACGAGATATAATTGCGCGCCCAAGTTAAGAGCTGAGTTAGACAAAAACACATTTCTGGAACACGCAATGGACATAGTAACACCTAAGGAGTCCTCAGTAGAATCCCTGCTGGGCACCTGTTGAACGAAGTATGGTCTCAAACTCTCTGGCTGCTGTATTGGAGCCCAGGAGTCGATGATCCCCTCCTCCGATGCGCTCACCGCACTCGGGACATGTAGACGTCTCCATGGCGCCACCACACTGGAGTCATTGTAAGATGCGAACAAGAGCAGCGGTTATTTTGCTTACCTCTCCGATAGTATACGGGTGTCCGTTCGGACAATTATAGAAGTGGCCGGTGTAGCCTTTAGACTATCAGTGAGATCTAGCATTTGATAACAGAATAATGGCTTACCGAAGCCGAAGGTCTTGACAATCATTTCGCGCTCCTGCATTGACAAGGGCTCGTACATACCTCCCTTGCGGACGAACGACTCCAGTTCTTCAAGCTGCTTGATAAACCGGTCTACCTTGCATCCACAGTTGTCTTGGAACCACCGTCGTTCATCTCTCATACTGACAACGCTGTCCACTGGCCGGCTGCGAACATACTGCTCTTGATACGTCTGCACGGCGTGAACAATGTCATCCCGCTTGCTCTTCACCTGGTCGCCAAGGCGCGTGCGATCCGCGATGGACGGTCGACGGTCCCCACGAGAGAGGTTCCGCTCGTCTTCCATCATCCGGAAGCGGAACTCTTCGAACTCGGCGCGAAGGATGTAGACTGAGCATTTTGCTGTCTGGCGAGATGCCGAGGAGTTTTGCGCCATGGTAAGGGCTTTACGAGCGTCGACTGCGCATGATTGGTACAAGAAAGTCACGAAAGACGTCCAAAGCTTGCGGTGCTTCGCACCCGACTCGTCCGTAGCAGTCGTGGGGAGACCGTCGACACGACTTACGCCAACCTCTGCGAGCATGAAGCGGATCTCACAGAGAGTGAACATGGCGTCGATCTGGAAGCGGACGTCCGCTTTGGGTGGTGGTTGTCCAATCTTCGTCCTCACCGCCTTGAGCGCAGCGGGCTCGGGTGCTTCGGTAGCCCTGGTCGGATCATTCGCAATTGCTTCGAGCTCCAAGCGGTAGAGAGTCGTTACTGCGCCTTCGTATGCCTTGTGGTGAGCGCCGCGCGTGGCAGACATGACATGCGCTCTCCTATAGACCACCACGAGATCCTTGACGATGTCGTTCCACGCTTTAGCCTCGGTCGTAGAAAGTCCATGTAGGCTATGCATCGCGCCTCTGTCGAGGAATTGCGTTGAAAGAGCTTCGGTACTGCCGCCCTTCAGCCAAGAATCGCAGCGCTCCGCAGGGTCAGAGATATTCTCCACGTCGTAGGAAATCTTTCCGGCAACTTCCTTCCACTTGTCCAGCGCCTCTGATATCGTTTCCAATGAAGGATTGAGTGCCTCCAAGGACTTCGACATCGTGCTCGCGACGTTCTGTTCCAGGATATCGAGAGTGGCACGCTTAGTAACCCGCCCGTATCGTGGAGAGGTAATTGGACCTCGACAGGTCGGACAAGTTGGTGGAAGCTGATATGCAGAGGGCGGCTCCTTCGTCGACAGGTATCGGCCCATCTCGTCGATCATGTAGAAGTCGTTCATTCGGCAATGCCCATCCAACGTCTCTACCGTAAAGACGTGCTTGCAGGCAAGAGCGACGAGGCGTTCTGAGGTGTCCGTAGAAGAGGTGTCGAGCTCGCCAAGAGTGCGTTGCATGATAAAATCCACGACG